ATACATCATAACATTTCTAGTTGTTAGAAAGGCGGCGGGGAAAGGAGCATCCTTACGCGCACGCAATTAGAACCCCGCCGTGAGATGCGTCGGTGGCTGTGAGGCAGGTGGGGACATGCCTGGAGGCTGAAAGGGCTTCCGGACGCATAAATCGCACCAGGCGCCGTCGTACGCCGGACCAACGATGCATCATAACAGTAACTAGTTGCTAGAAAGGCGGCAGGAATAGGAGCATCCATACGCGCACGCAATTAGAACCCCGCCGTGAGATGCGTCGGTGGCTGTGAGGCAGGTGGGGACATGCCTGGGAGGCTGAAAGGGCTTCCGGACGCATAAATCGCACCAGGCGCCGTCGTACGCCGGACCAACGATGCATCATAACAGTAACTAGTTGCTAGAAAGGCGGCAGGAATAGGAGCATCCATACGCGCACGCAATTAGAACCCCGCCGTGAGATGCGTCGGTGGCTGTGAGGCAGGTGGGGACATGCCTGGAGGCTGAAAGGGCTTCCGGACGCATAAATCGCACCAGGCGCCGTCGTACGCCGGACCAACGATGCATCATAACAGTAACTAGTTGCTAGAAAGGCGGCAGGAATAGGAGCATCCATACGCGCACGCAATTAGAACCCCGCCGTGAGATGCGTCGGTGGCTGTGAGGCAGGTGGGGACATGCCTGGGAGGCTGAAAGGGCTTCCGGACGCATAAATCGCACCAGGCGCCGTCGTACGCCGGACCAACGATGCATCATAACAGTAACTAGTTGCTAGAAAGGCGGCAGGAATAGGAGCATCCTTACGCGCACGCAATTAGAACCCCGCCGTGAGATGCGTCGGTGGCTGTGAGGCAGGTGGGGACATGCCTGGGAGGCTGAAAGGGCTTCCGGACGCATAAATCGCACCAGGCGCCGTCGTACGCCGGACCAACGATGCATCAGAACATCAACTAGTTGCCAGAAAAGCGGCGGGGAACGCGTGTTCATCAGTCACGCTCGCTAGCCAACCATCATGGGGAAGGGATGTAAGACCGTCATCCTCTGGGATGGGTCGAACTACTCCCACTGGCGCGGCGAGTTAGGCGATTTCCTCGCAACGTCCAAGTTGAAGTGCTACATCAACAACCCGTCGCCTCCGAGCCGCAACACCCAAGACGCCCTGGAGGAGGACGCACAGGCGCTCAGCTACCTGCGTCTGTCCTGTGAACTGCCTATCAAGCAGGTGCTCATGAATTGCCCAACCGGTCTCGCCGCCATGCAGCTCTTACAGCAACAGTTCCGTTCTGCATCCCAGGCCCGGCTGAGCCTGGTTGAGCCGCAGATGCAGCTGAACATGCGTGATGGGGAGACAACCGCTGACTTCATTTAGCGGTCAGAGCAGCTCCGTAGCGATATAATTGTGGCCGGCGGCCAGTGGGACGAGAGCACGGTGCGCCACGCCATTCTCCATGGCCTGCCTCCGCAGTACGCCATCACCATCGAGTTCACGATGTATCAGCCCAACTTAACGACCCCACAGCTCGTGCTCATGCTGCGGGAGAAGGACAACAACCTCAAGACCCAAGCAAGCAAGACCAGCCTGGTGGGAGCTGTCGGCCCTGGCCGTGCCACCAGTGGAGTCGGCAGCACCGCCAGTGCTGCAGGCGCCGTGGGGGCCGGCGACACCTGCCGCTACTGCGGACGGTCCCGTGGCCCGGGCGGTTGTCAGAGCCCAAGGCTGGAGTGCAGGGTGGGTGAGCTCCAGGTAGGCGGACAGCGTGCGTACCCAGGGGTGTAGGCCCCGGGCCTCACTGTTGGTTGCCGCTGCCACCTCCTCGTCCCCGCCTGCTCCCCCAGTTTCTTCCCCTCCCGCACCCCTACCTTCACAACCTGCCGCCGGTAGTGCCTGTGCAATGAATCGCACGGCCCAGACTGCGTGGCGAGCGTGGATGTGCTGTCGGAGCGGCAGCAGGCCGAAACCCCCGGTTGACGGATGGCCTACTAAAAGGCTGCCGGGTACACCTGTGAGACGCTGGCCTGGGTCTTCTGGGCCCTGTTGCCGGTCGACCAGGCGGGCCGTCAGCCGCTCGATGTGGTCCAGAGTGCTGTCTGGAGGGGGTCCGCCATGTTCCATGTGCCAGGTGACCGTCTGCAGGCCGTAGGCGGACGTGGCGGTGGCCCTGCCGAAGGCTGACAGTGGGAAGCGGGCGAGCCGCTGCATCCGCTTGTAGGTGCCTGCCAGCATCTTGGGCCATTCGGGTTGCGGGGGTGTGGGCCGGTTG